GGTTGGGCATTTCCACTCGAACCTTAGCCCTGGCGGGGCATTTGAAATTAATAATTTGGATTCTTGCACTTCACTTGTGGAATTGATATTAGAATGTTAGGGTTTGTAATCCAAGTGATAATATTTTGTAATCCAAGTGAGAATATACAAATGTTTAGTACATGTATATATTTTGTGTATATATTTTGTAATCCAAATGAGAATAGTTTGTAATCCAAGTGAGAATATACAAATGTATATATGCTCACTTGGATTACAAACCCTAACATTCTAATGTTAATTCCAACAAGTGAAGTCCAAGAATCCAAATTATTGAAGTTCACCTTATCACAATCCGCACACCCGATTACCTAAATATACATGAACTTACGGTTAAAGCTCAACAGCTGGCCTCTGTAGCTCAGTTGGTTAGAGCGCTGCACCGGAATTGCAGGGCCGTAGGTTCAATTCCTACCAGAGGACCTTGTGCTGCATTTTTCGCAGTCGTTCCTGGTTAGGTCTAAAAATGTATATATTCTCACTTGGATTACAAACCCTAACATTCTAATATTAATTCCACCAAGTGAAGTGCAAGAATCCAAATTATTGAAGTCCACCTTATCACAACCCGCACACCCGATTACCTAAATATACATGAACTTACGGTTAAAGCTCAACAGCTGGCCTCGGTAGCTCAGTTGGTTAGAGCGCTGCACCGGAATTACAGGGCCGTAGGTTCAATTCCTACCAGAGGACCTTGTGCTGCATTTTTTGCAGTCGTTCCTGGTTAGGTCTTAAAATGTATATATTCTCACTTGGATTACAAACCCTAACATTCTAATGTTAATTCCAACAAGTGAAGTCCAAGAATATAAAATTATTGAAGTCCACCTTATCACAACCCGCACACACGATTACCTAAATATACATGAACTTACGGTTAAAGCTCAACAGCTGGCCTCTGTAGCTCAGTTGGTTAGAGCATTGCACCGGAATCGCAGGGCCGTAGGTTCAATTCCTACCAGAGGACCGTGTGCTGCATTTTTCGCAGTCGTTCCTAGTTAGGTCTTAAAATGTATATATTCTCACTTGGATTACAAACCCTAACATTCTAATATTAATTCCAACAAGTGAAGTACAAGAATCCAAATTATTGAAGTCCACCTTATCACAACCCGCACACCCGATTACCTAAATATACATGAACGTACGGTTAAAGCTCAACAGCTGGCCTCTGTAGCTCAGTTGGTTAGAGCGCTGCACCGGAATCGCAGGGCCGTAGGTTCAATTCCTACCAGAGGACCTTGTGCTGCATTTTTCGCAGTCGTTCCTGGTTAGGTCTTGAAATGTATATATTCTCACTTGGATTACAAACCCTAACATTCTAATTATGTTAATTCCAACAAGTGAAGTCCAAGAATCCAAATTATTGAAGTCCACCTTATCACAACCCGCACACCCGATTACCTAAATATACATGAACTTACGGTTAAAGCTCAACAGCTGGCCTCTGTAGCTCAGTTGGTTAGAGCGCTGCACCGGAATCGCAGGGCCGTAGGTTCAATTCCTACCAGAGGACCTTGTGCTGCATTTTCGCAGTCGTTCCTGGTTAGGTCTTAAAATGTATATATTCTCACTTGGATTACAAACCCTAACATTCAAATATTAATCCCAACAAGTGAAGTGCAAGAATCCAAATTATCGAAGTCCACCTTATCATAACCCGCACACCCGATTACCTAAATATACATGAACTTATGGTTAAAGCTCAACAGCTGGCCGAGCTGTAGCTCAGTTGGTTAGAGTGCTGCACCGGAATCGCAGGGCCGTAGGTTCAATTCCTACCAGAGGACCTTGTGCTGCATTTTTCGCAGTCGTTCCTGGTTAGGTCTTAAAATGTATATATTCTCACTTGGATTACAAACCCTAACATTCTAATATTAAGGTCACCAAGTGAAGTGCAAGAATCCAAATGATTGAAGTCCACCTTATCATAACCTGCACACCCGATTACCTAAATATACATGAACTTACGGTTAAAGCTCAACAGCTGGCCTCTGTAGCTCAGTTGGTTAGAGCGCTGCACCGGAATCGCAGGGCCGTAGGTTCAATTCCTACCAGAGGACCTTGTGCTGCATTTTTCGCAGTCGTTCCTGGTTAGGTCTTAAAATGTATATTCTCACTTGGATTACAAACCCTAACATTCTAACATTTGAAATTAAGGATTTGGAGGTTTTGCGATCTGCACTGATAACTTGATAATAATGTAAAACAAAGCACTTCTATCTGCAACTTTTACAATCACTGATAACTTGATAATAATTTAAACCAGTCAAGTGTAGTTTAAATAGAGAATAATACATGGGTGCATGAAATACCAGATTTATTTCGAGTGTTGAACATGAGTGTGCAGCGAACAAGTGGGCGCAGCGAACGAGTGAGATGTCATGTTCAACACGAAAAATAAATCTGGTATTTCCAACCACCCATGTATTTTTCTGTTTATTATATAAAGGACAGTCTTAAATGAAAAGAGATAATTTTTACAGAAATTAAAAGCGATAATTGAAAAGGCGATAATTTTCACATGTGAGATTATCATGAATAATTTCACATGTGAGATTATCATTTTTATCAGTGCTTGAAATCTCTGTAAAACACTATACTTTATATAATAAAAATTCATAAATTTGAACCATGCTAGAGCATGACAACAGCAAAATGCTCTATAGTATGATGCACAATATTTTGGGAGGTGAAATACAGGAACAATAAATCACAGCATGTTTGCTTGGAACTCACTGGGGGGGGGGTGCAACACCCCTGATAATTGCTCGTAAGGAATTTCAGGTAGATTTCCAGTGCACTGTTAGGTAAAATTAAGTAGATTTGCAGAAGATTTTCAGGAGAATTCAGGTAATTCTCAGGACATGAGAAAGTGAATTTGGAAAACAACTGTATTTTCGGAAAAATTATTATATGTCCTGAAAATTTTTTGTACATCTGGAAACATTTTGGTAACCCCCCCCCCTCTATCTAACCTCACACACCCCCTCAGACGAAGTGGTCGCAACGGCACTGAGTATACATCTTTTGAAAACAGGCGAGGGGTTATTGCATGCATGTATTTCTAGTATACATTTAATACGGCTGTCAATGATATCGACGGTTGCCAGTTTTAAAAGGCGTTATCTGAACACTGTAGTTATGTGCAATATAGCTAGGTTAGAAATCTTAATCCCCGAGCCGCGAGGGTACTAATTCCGCCCGGCTATTTACACCCGGGGAAAGGAACGCACTAGCCAAGTCTAAAGTTCAGCAAATATCGTGGGCGCATGGCTCACCGTTCATGGGTGGTCATCCTCACTGATCTCAAAATATATAGCGGACTGTCGTGAATAGTGAACACTGATTGGTCAAATTGAAATTTTTATTATAACGACTGCATTGACGACAGCGAAATAACGAACATTTCTTGCAAGTTGTATTTTTAGCTTTTTTGCAAGATTTCGTAAATTTCAAAACCTTTCTGAGAGCCAAAAAAAGTCTAAAAACGTCTAAGAGAATAGAGCAAAGTCGCCAACGTTAATGAAGGTAAGTTTGTTTTAAATATTGTTGTTATATAGCTAGTGCGAACATGCACCAAACGTGATTGGCTGATTTGTAGTCACGTGGCTTCAGATAAATGCAATGTATCCCGCCCGGGCAATAAGTGAAAAATTGTTGCCCGCCCCGACCGGCTACGTACATAAATAAACAAAATGGCGGCACAAATTTATACTATTTAAACTACTGTTTTCGTGGCTTTGTGTTAAAATAAAGAATGTAAAAGAGAAGAAAAATACATAACAGGCAACAGGATATGCTGCTGAAACCATTTAAGTAGGTTTTTAAAATTTTAAACTCGTTTACGCTATAGAGTTTTTGTCATGAAATACAAATATTGTTGTATGAATGTTGTTCAATGTTGATATTTGTTTCGTCGCTAGCTATATAACAAAACACTTAACGTCTTTTCCCTCGGGAAATAGTTAGTTTTGTTTTCCCTCGAATCTCAATGTTTCCCTCGACTTCGTCTCGAGAAACATTGAGATTCTCGGGAAAACAAAACTAACTATTTCTCTTGGGTGCAAACATTAAGTGTATATTATGTATTGTTTGTTTTATAATTGATATATTTGTAACTGCATAGTGGTGGGCGATACTGCGAATATCGAACTGATAGTTATTAATATAGTGATACTATCATTGTGTATACAGTATAAGTGAAAAAAGACAGCATATAATTGCAGTGTAGTTTTATTAATTACCCTTTCTTTTGTATATTAAAATATTTAAATAAAAGGAAAGCAAAGTTATTTTCATGCGAGAATTTGAAATCAGTAGTTTATTTCAAACTTAATGTTTACCGATAATTCGAAGGTTGGATAATTCGAAGGATAATTCGAAGGATTTGTGGTTGAATTTTACATTAAATTGAAGCTTATATTACGTATAATAGCATACCTAGCATATATATGTTTGGGAAATTGATAATTTTGTTATTAAAAGTGATATTTTGGGGGATTTCTCAATTTCAAAACTATTCTTAAAATTATCGTGTTACCATGACAACTACTTTCAATTCTTCATATTCAGAAAACAGAATGTTTTGTCCGTAAGGCGAGGGTTTTTGCATGCATGTATTTCTAGTTATACATGTACTTAAGAAATAGGAAACATTTTTCGTGTTTCCATCGAGTTATAGAAATACACATATACGTTTGGGAGAAACGAGAAATTGATCATGGAAAAAAAATGAGATAAAAAAGCGAGTGATTCCAAGCAATTTCGAATTCTCCCAAACTTCTGCAAGTGTGTCTACAACTAAATGCTAACACGGAAAACTGGTTCTATTGATACATCATACAAGCAGCAATAGGGTAGGTAGTATCGTTTTGTTCACAGATCAATCAAGATGGTATCGATCGCAAAGGGCAATTAGCTGTGGTTTTCTTATTAAGACGAAACCATCTATACTATTACACATACCGACTTTCATCTTTTAGTAAGCTCTTGCAACGGCCAATAAAATCATTATGTAAGGTCACGAGAAAATTGTTCAAAGCCAAAGCACAACTTCCCTGGCCTGAATTAGCAGGCAAAAACATGGAAATTGGTGTTGAATTTGTCACATCAATGCAGCACATTTCCTGCGAAATTGAATAAGGGCCTACAATAATAATAAAGGAAAAACAAAACGTATAAATTAATTCGTTGTTGTACTACAGGAACAGTGTAAATTTCGGAATCAGAGGCGACTATGATTTTAAATTGGTAACAGTGAGTCAATACCAGCATGCAACTGTAGAAGTTCGTTTATCATGAATGCTCATTGATCAAAATGTAAAAATGGGATTTTAGGAAATGTACGGTAAGGCTTTTCGTTATCACGCGTCAGCATGATATAATGGTTAGCATGATATGGTGGTTGACTACCACAATTAATAGTTGTTGTTTCCGGGTGTGATCTATTTAACGACTTAAAAAGGTCTTATTATTAATAGCTGGATAACAATATTATTGAGAGAGTTTTATGGGAATACAGAAACTAAACCAGAGACATTATTGAATTGATTAGAAAGCGCTTGCGAATTAATCAGTTTTGAAAAATAAAAAAAATAATACTTACCATCTTGTGTAAGGGATGATCGGACAATTTTCCAAGCCATTTTAAAACTGTTGACCAAAGCTTTGAATTGTTCTCTTATTTGAGGAGCTAAAGAGAAAATTAAAAATATGCAAACTTGGTAGAAATTTCATTAAAATAATATAGTACTCATTTACGGAGATATATTGATAAACGACGACACAGTAACAGTCGACCGAGCCAAAACAAAACGATAGTACGATACTATCGAACAATCACGTTCTTAACCTGGTTTCATAAAAAAACAGCCACGAAAAGTTTTGAAACATCCTGAGGTACTTATGGAAAAAAGAGGACTTTAAAGACTGATTATTTCGACGAATTGAACCCACAGATGCGGATGTCTTTTTAATTAAACTTTTAAATAAATAATAAAACAATTATTAATTCGGTTTTCATCACATATGAAAAATTATTTAACACCAAACTTCTGGCTTGATAATTCTTCATATCATACTCAACCTCGTTCAATAATTGTTAGAAATTATTATACTCGCACTGCAAGCACTTGCGAAGCCGTGTTCAGCATTTGGATTTATTGTAGTTATACCATAATACGTAGCTTCAACTGGACATTTAAATATAGATACCAAAGTATTCAACCATCGTTTGTGCTTACTGTGCTTGTATATAAAGTCACAATAGAACTGCAATGTGATTTCGGAATATGCAAAAAGTGGCTCAAACAATAATTATTTTTCGGATATATAGTTGACTCCAAATAATAAAAAATTCTTTCAAGTGTATGGAAGAAGAAGATAGAAGAAGGCCGATACTTCTATCGTGTGTGTAAAACACAAATGATGAGCAATGTGGCATATTTCAATACACATGTTTTCTAGTTTCAGCTTTGTACGCGTGTCATGCCCCAACTGCAATTATTCTGATGAAGACCGCACAATTTGCGCAGTGCATTTGCATTACACAAATTGATTATCAGAATTTCCTTCGTTAGAATTTCATGAGATCTTCCATTTTCAGCAGTCTAACATACTTAACTTAATAAGTAAAGTTAATGTAATAATTACATCTTTTCAAGAATTTTCCCAGAGTGAATTCTTCCGCTTCATTTCGATCTAAACGACGATGAAATTTCTCGAAAAGCAGACGCTGTAGTTTTATAATATCTGGAAGATACTGCAACGCACGGAGATGTTGCTCCTATAGACATACATGAAACAAAATTTAAATAATTGTTTGTTGAGACAATAGTATATAAATAAAAATTGACCAAGAAATTGCACAGCAAAAAATCATTTTCTTAAGAAAATATAATTTTCTTATTTTAAGAAAATATTTATTGACATGAAAATATTTATTGATTTATATGACAGAGATATGTATTTTTATAATTTCCGTATATGGCCAGTACTTAGTGGTATGAAACATTCTCCAAAACGTATAGAATCTTCACAAAAGGGCATGCCCAAGGCGCTTCCATGATAGCTTGATATACAACAATAGAGAATTTGGCCGAAAGAGGCGGCACAACTGAAGCCTGTTGGTGCATCTCCTTACCACATGTAAAATTTTCTTTGGAAATAGGAACATTTTACATCTAAAATGTGCATTTCATATTCTTGTATGAAAAATTCAAAATTTATGCATATGAAATTTGATCTTTCATGCACATATGAAAAGTATGTTTTGTATGCGAAATTATTATTTTGTGAATTGCAATTGGAACAGTTAACATGAGATGTAATTTTCCCTCAGACATCCTAAGCTATTTGTTCGCATACCTTTTTCAAGAATTCAGCCAAAATTTCACATCTCTCTAGCTTATCGCATCCTTGTGCATACTCTTGAAACTTGAACGATACGTTTTCTATGGCGATTTTTTTGCGGTATCGCCATAGTGCTGGACACATTGGATCGAGTTTGGTTATGGACTCATAGTTTGGGCCATCCAGTTCATGTACCAATCTCATCAAACGATTATTCCCTGCAGATTGATGAAGTTTAAATATGATTGCCAATTACTGAAAATCAACAGAGTTATCCAAGGATTTTCAGTTTTGCACAGTGTTAATTGCAACAGTCAAAAGTAGAAAACTTTCGTTTGCAATTTCGTATGAAATTTCAAAACGTTTGTTCGCAGCTATCAAATATGGGAAACCCAAATATAGTAGTCTATTTATATATAGTACTTGTGTGTCAAATTGTATTATATCTCTGGTGATCTCAGATATTTAAGGATGTTTGAATATTTTGAGGAAGCCTTTAATCGTTAAGCTTAGAGATCGATGCACAGAAGCTTATGTAGAGTTAATATAATTGTTGCTGTGTATGCATGTTTGTGTGTCCTAGAAATTGGTAGGGTCAAACAATATAGAACAGCGTATTAGGCTAAAAGCTACTACGAGTAAGCGAATAGATTAAAGATTAATATGTCCCACAACTAACGTAGCGGACATGCCTCGGATTAGCGTTGGTCAATTTGTGGTTTACTCATGCAAACTTGCTTTAACGAACTGTATTGCGTAGGGGAAATGAGTCGTAGTTTTGTAGTTTCTTCCCCTAGCAGAGCGTATAAAAGCCTGAGCACAACTAGACAATTGATGCATTATTTATAAGGCGAAAGCCTGAATAACATCGCCGTGTAAGAAATAATTAAATGATTATACGAAGGCGAAGATATTAAAGATAAAGAATTGTCATGCAGGAATTGAAGAGTTGTGCTCAGTCGTGAAAAGAGATAAATTAGAACAGTATTAAGAATTATATTATATATATTAAGAAAACTTATCAAGACGCTAATTATCGAGTAATATATAAGACTACAAGTAAGAAAATAAATATATCATTGCATGAAAGTAATTGGTTTCACATGCAATCTTTGTTGCGAGCAAATAGAACCAAAAGCGCGGCCAAATAAAATAGTAAAGTGTTTGGTGCGAGTGGAAGGAGAGTTGCCACTGGAGAGTTAAATCGGAGAGTTAAGATTTCGGACAGCTCAGTGAGGTCCATATATATATGGAGCAAGAACTTCAGTCATTCAGCCTATGAGAAAAGTGAAGCCAAGATGGCGGCCATTGACGTCCTATATAGTTCTGAAGGTCGTAAATAGTTCCCAAATCATTTTCCACAGCTAATTTCTGTTTTTCCTAAAGGACCGTATCGCTAACCAAGTTATCAGTTCATAAAACCATGTTATTATTTCAATCGATCTCAAAAAACGAAATATCAGCACATTCCTTGCCAAGATGGCGGAAATTGAAGGAACGATTGGATGTCAGTTCCAGTCCCTTTCTATTGTTTTTATCTTCGCGGTTAATACAAAGCTGGCTTCACTTTTTGAACTCGAGTTCTCGCTCCAGATTTATATGAAGCTCACTGGAACAGCTATGTTCCAGACATGCTCAAAGCATGTCCACGTTTAAACCATCATACCCAATTTCTTAATTCTCCCTCTGTTTTATTTGAAATTACGAACATGGTTAAATATGATTCAAATATAAATGTCACGCCTATGGACGTAAATTGGGGAACAGAAGACCGAGATTTTGCAAAGACTGTCCTTGCATGCGAGTGTGCATGTGGATGAGGTATCAAAATAAGATTGCACACCCTCTTGTACTGTTGGAACAAAATACAAAAAATCTCTGTAAAAAATTCTTACATACCAAGTCTCTCATCTCGGGCCATACGTCTCAAACTGTCCTGGAGTAGGACGGAAATAACCTAAAAATGTCAGAATGTAACAATCAGAATCCTATCGAAGCTCATTCAAGAAATCATGATTGCTTGCATTTTTCTCTTTCTGCCATGTCTTTTGAAGAGCATTTATTCTGCCCTTTATTCACCTCTAAATTACATTTTCCGTCTGGTATAGGCCTATCCCCTTCCTACATTAAAGCAAATAAATTTTTTCTGAAAAATCAATGGTAATTTGTTAACACAATTAATTGTACGAATCCAACGCACCCTTCCAGGTAGTATTTGCCTTGGCAATACAGGCTCGTTCTCGTGATAAAACCCAAATATGTTGATATAAAAACTTACGGAAAGAACAGGGTTCAAATAAGTGGTCATAAATGCATCTTCCCAAGCTGTTCTTGAAACATTAGTGGTCAAGTTGCCACCAATATTTAGGTAACCTACAATAAAGTTATTATTTAACATTTTATTTAAGTATGTATAGAGAACAGGGATAGCAAAATCAGTAATCTTGGATACGACATCTGGCGGTTTGATATTTCTCGCACCTAATAACAATCTTGCAACTTTTAAGTTCAACTGTGTAAAATTTCACACCAATAGAAATCTTGAACACGTTCTCCAAAACCGTGTTGCTTTTTTGAAGTGTCAGGCCTCATCGTATAATTGGATCCCGTGGATATTATCCTTAGTACAGAGCTGTGATGATAACTCAGCCATGCCCCGAGATATGAAGTGTTTAGAGTCGTACTTTTGTATTGTATCGTAATGGCAAGTATTTTAAATACAAAAAATATATATATTCTCAAATACCTAATTAAAATGTGCGGAAATTGGTCGCGTCGAATGCAATTAAGCTTCATTATCTATTGTTTGAATTGCATTCGACGCAACCGAAATTCTACGTATAAAACAGGCCCAAGACCTTTAATCCAGTGCCAAATATATCTCTAGCCATAGCAACAGGTCATTCTATGCAAACACTTATGATTTTCATTATTCAAAGCTTTACAAATGTATTGTCTTTAACCTAGTTAGATGCAGGTTTATTAGTATAACATGACCAGTTGCCATGGCTATCTTCGCCACAGCTTTAATTGCAAAAAACACGATGGGCGTTCATATGCATAGCACAACCAGAAATTGCACAGAAAAAATGGTCATGTCGCTGAGCATTCATTACATGACATGCCTCAGTCAAGAATTTTCCCGCGTTTTTCGTTTTGCTTTATTTCAACTTATTTGTGGCGAAATAAGGCTGACATTGTAAGTTTAAATAGTTCTTGAGCTACCAAATATTTTCCTAAGCCTTTAATTAACCTTTTCTTAATCTCGAAATATTACCAATAAATCATAAACTTTGCCGACTATATATCTCAATTTTTAATTTGCCGACTATATCTTAATAAATAATTTAGCAGTTTTCCTCATTAATATTCAGAACACTTATAAGCCTGTTCATCCTATATGCATGTCATCTCAGCTCTCAATTTCTGATCGCCTATGAACGCATCCAAACATATTATGTTTTGCGAAATGCTGCGAACAAACATTAACATATTCATTGTGACTTTCACGCTTAGAGATCGAAGTTGTGTCCATATGGTTGTGAGTTTTGACTTTGAGCAATACATTAGTCACAAACCAGCTAGTGAAATTAGTTACAAATGTAATATGCAATTAAACGTACCTCCATGCCGACCCAGGTTGTTGACAATACCAGCAAGCACTAAATGGATTATCTGCACTGCCTCATCATCATTGTTGCCAGTACTTCGTGCTATACATCTTATATCATGTTGTATATGTTCCTTTAAAAACTGGACAACATCCCAAACTGGTGGTTTTATGACAGCAGCAATATTCTGGTTAAAACATTGATATATTTTATTTGCAAAACAGTATACCGAAATTTCATGAGGAATTAAATTAAAATGTGTATGAGACTACGTTATTAATGCCTGTTATAGTTTATACTTATTCCATATTTCAAAGATTATATTTACAAAGTCATGTAACTCAATAAATTATATCATGAACACATAAAAATTACTAACAGAACAACTTTAGATATATTCAGGTTACATGTAGGAAGACAATTTTAAAATCATTGCGCACCCAAATTTTTTAAATTTACTGATACAAACTATTACTATTTTACTTTTACTATTTTTAATACAAATAAAATTAAGATTTAACTTTCCATAGCGAGCATAAGTTAAATGTTTAACATGTACAACATATATGGCCTACCTGATTATTCTGATCTGTTCCCAACAACATGGCTGCATGAGTAAGGCAACGTAAGACACCACATGACAAGGGAGTCAAATTCCGTAAGGATGTTACATTTTGCTGCTGAGCTTGAGCACGGCCAAGAATGTGACCAGTGCTACTTCGATCTTGCCTGACAGCCACAAAAATTAGACAGAAACAAAGAAAAATACAAATTGTAAAACAATATAATTTTTCAATATTTCTTACACTGGATAGCTCGTGGGTTATGATACTATAAACAGATTCAATCCCTGGCGAATTGTCCGGATGGCCAATTGTAACCACATTTGTAACCACAGCCACGGACTTCTGTTCCGATCTTCACTACTACATGCACCACTGAGACAATTACCACATCTCATATAAATGTATGTGATTTTACATTTACACCCTTACCCATGTACACTAAATCCAGACATAAGTTATAAGCTTAAAATTAGGCTAATGATAAAATTCAATCTTTATCCTAATGTAGGTAAAAATTATGCAATTTTTCTAAACCACGACTATAAATACATGCCTGCTGCAACCCCTCGTTGTGATAATTAGCCAACTTCCAAACGAACGCTGGTTCGCTTAAAGTGATAACGCTGTCACGCATTTTGTTGTTTCGTACAAAATGGGGGAAAAAAAGAAAATTTAGTACTTTCAACTAGAAATTTATTAATTCCCGAAAAATTCAAGATACGTAGGCCTATTATGTTCTCGGACTCATATTTTCATATGCTCTCTGACTCACATTTCGAGATCAATAGTAGCAGGATAGATCAATGGTGGGAAACCCACCACGCCCGGAAGAAAAAATGGTCATGCCGCCGAGTACTCACCGCATGAAACATACATGTAGCCAAGCACTATATATAATCACTGGTTTCCAAATTTCGCATACATAGTCGAACAGAATTAGTGCCGTCGTCACGGGCTAGGTTTAAGCTACGTTTACACGCTACGATTAATCGTGTACGATTAGTATTCTGGCGTATTAAAATGAGTGCTGGTGCCATAATTCATTGCCGTTTGGTTAAAACGAAATTTCAAATGTAGCCAGCTTACGCGTGTTTAGTCCATGACATACGCCAGGAAACAAATCGTACACGATTAATCGCAGCGTGTAAACGTATAGCTTTACGCTCTACAAATATTGACTGTGCATACTCTTTTTAATACCTGAAATTTCGTATTGTATATTTTTATAACAAAGAAATCATTCAATAACTGCATGTAGGTAAAGTTGGCAAATACAAAAAATTCAAGATGCTATAACGCTTGGGTAGTATAGGTAATAGCACGGTTTCGAGTGCAATTTGGATATAACATGCACGAGTGAGTTTTTCAAAGACCTCAAAATAGCACGAGTCTGAAAGACGAGTGCTATTTGAGGTCTTTGAAAAACTCACGAGTGCATGTTTATGCAAATTTCACGAGAAACCATGCTATTACCTATTAATAATTTACATAAAAAATGTTCGAGACAATTGTAGTTTTAACTTACGCGTTTATAGCGAACATTCCATTGGCAAAGTTTTCCTGGCTTTGTTATATCACATTATACAACGCTAACGCAACTTGAAAATTCCACTCAACTATGTAATTTAATTTTGTTAGTCTTGTTTAAGGTAATTGCTTTTCCATTTAAAAATAAAGATAAAAGCCATATTTTTCACACGAAGGCAACTTTTTCTTTGTGTAGCGCGGCGCCATGTTTGTTTTGTTTTGAAGCAGTCAGTGACCGTTACTTCTTTAAACTAAATTGCTTTAAACTGATTGGTTGATTTAATCATCACAATGTTTTTCCACCAATCAGGTCAGTTTGTTACAGATTTTTGCACTGTGATTACAGAAAATTGCACTGTGATTACAAAAAATTGCACTGTGATTACAGAAAATTGCACTGCTGTCTGGGATTAACCGCACTGACATCAACCAATCACAGTCGAGTAATATCTTTATGTATATTATTACAGGAGTAATAACATATGATCATGCTGAGCATAATCGTTTAATACGTTACAACTCAGAACACCTGTGGAACGATTAAAAAATTATCCCTGATCTCAAAATATATGGCTGTTTGCCAAGAGTGGGACAAGCAAGATTTCAATTTTCAAAGGGCAAGTTTGTTTTGAATGTTTAATGTTTACGCATTTTGTCGCTAATTTATTGCGTAAAACATGACTGTTTCCCTTTTCAGTGAAGCTGTAAGTTTCCTAAATTACCCTGTTTAATTTAAGGAAAATAGTAAAATGTAAAGAAGATCAAATTATTTTGAAAACCAAACTAAAATTACTCAACAATTTGAACTCCAATTTGAAGTAAACAGTTTATTGGCAAACCATTTTACCATTTTACAAAACATTTTATTCAAGACATTTTACGAGGAGATTCAGGTAAAATTTTACATTAAATCGAAGCTCACAAAGTCCAGAACAACATACCTACAGTACATATTTCGGAAATTCATTGTTATATAGTTAAAAGCAATTATCTTTCGGCGTTTTTGGCGTGTTGTATTCTGAACGCTGATTGGCTAAGAGCCGTATTGATATAACTCAGTGTCAGCACGGAAACGTCGGAAAATTTCTTTCTTTATGTTTCTTTGTGCTATATTATAAAACAAATATAAAAACTTTTTTCCGTATTGATATACAGTTATATCAACACTCGTGGAAATTTGGAAAACTCGAAATTGTGTGAAAACACTCCACCTTTCGAGCATCGTTTCCACAAAATTACTCGTTTTCCCAATTTTCACTCGTGTTGATATAACTACAGTATATATCAACACGGAAATGTTTTATATTTGTTAAATATAAATTAAAATTATCGTGTTGCCATGGCAGCACCGACGTAAACGCAAGCCTGCGTTCAGTGTTGATCAATTACTAATACTTCATGTTAAATCAATGTTTGGAAAATATATATAGGCGAGGGGTTACTGGATGCATGTATTTCTACTAATTTCCTAGTTTTAAATCTTCTCCTTTAATTTTATAAGCATGAATTTATACTACTATACACCCTGCACCAAACAAATAATTGGACACCGATTTTCATTACTCTTGCACAGACTCACCTGGATGCATCTCTGTTGTTTGCTGCTAAAATGCCCTGGCCACCGATGTTGGCGTTACATGTTGGGCAACGATAGCTTTGGTTTGGGTTTCCACACTAAGAAACAAAAACCAAATTATTACAGGGGAATAGCACGCTTTGAAATGTACAAAAACCATAGGTGTGGGAGAAGAGGGGGAAAGCCCCTCTCAATATTTTTTAAGTCGGGCAAGTTCCAATTAAAAATTCAGCAATGCTGTATAAAAATCGAAAACTTCTACTAAAAATGGGGTAAAACTTCCTTCCGCTTCGAAAAGGAATTTTGCGAAATTCATAACGAAATTTATCCCATCAAAATCGGGCAAATTTTGTTCGCCCCCTCCCTAATTTTTTCCACTCGTACGCCATAACAAAGACAATATTGCAAAAGGAACAAGCATGTATGATGTATAAACTTAAGTCAAGCATGCACACCTGCAAAGCTCCTAAGGTAATTCAAGGTGAAACATTCACTTTTTAAAATTTGTTGGCGAAAGTTCAACATACGTTGTGATGCAATATACATTTGTACTGTTGTACATGTCGTTTACAGTACTTACTTCTGTAATAACATAACGATGTCCTTTTGGACACTCTAAAAAGTAAAACAATCAACTAATTTTCAGAATTCTTGTATTATATAGAGATACGGACAAAATAGCACAAGTGTATTTATACTTAATAAATGAGAAGTATATGGCCTGCTCATGATCAAATTTTATGCATAAACGAACGAATTAAAGTTGTTCCTTGTTACTTCAGTTTGTTCCTTGACTTACCATACCACCGTCCATTGGTTGCTTGCATAACTTCAGGGCCATCATCATGAGGCATTGTGGGAATAAAAGCATTCTATATAACCAATAAAATGCATTTTATAGTGTTACGTATTGTGTCCTAAAAAATGTTTCCGTGAAGAATTAATGTAATAATGGCGTTCATTAACTCAACATTGTCATAAAAATAAAACTTTTATTGATCTTTACACCTGCTATTTTGTTATTTATTACTTTCACCTTTAAGTATAAGTATAAGTTTGTATGATCACCTGATAAAGCAACATATACAGTACTGGTCAGAAATAACCCAACACTGCGTTCGCGTTCCGAACGCGGTTGGAACGCGTTCCCCACTTTGGTTAAAAACCGCGTTCTCGCATCGGAAAATCCCGACACCGAATAAAACCTGAGCTATACTGCAGGGTTTGAAAGTTGACAACTATGAACAATTATTTTAAGCTTCATTCCGGGCTGAAATACCAGCCCCGTTTGATCCAGACTGAAACTCGACACAATCCGGGCAGTATGTAATCGCATGTAACCACAATGTCATGACATGCACAAAAGTCAAGTAGCTGAAAATGCTTCAAATCGCGATCGTATCATCCCAACCCGAGCTAGAAAGGTCTGAGCTGTGCATAGCCTACACTCCAGTCGGCGGTTTAATAACACGGGATGAAAATAGTTCTGACTAAAACTAAGCGTCTCAAACTGTTTACGGTCAAATCTAAATCCCAATCAACCGGGCTGAAACAATCGTATCATAGATAGATAGATAGAAACTTTTATTTAAACATGCTAACCATTGTCAACCTAGGGTGATTTCCACAAGGGGCGTGTACAATAATAAAATTGCAAAGATATAGTATATAGTAATATATATATATATATATATATATATATATATATATATATATATATATATATATATATATATATATATATATATATATATATATATATATATATATATATACTGAAGACTATTTTCAAAAAAATAGTCGATGAGTTGACGTAAGGTAGAAGAGCGCTCAATACCATAATAAGTAGAGCGGAATTAATTCAGTCAAGGTTTGAATGTTTGCGTCGCTACTATATATATATATATATATATATATATATATATATATATATATATATATATATATATATATATATATATATATATATATATATATATATATATATATATATATATATATATATATATATATATATATATATATATATATATATATATATATATATATATATATATATATATATATATATATATATATATATATATATACTGGGTGTCCCAAAAAAGTACTCCGGTTTGATTTATAATAACTTCTAAATAAGTAAAGCTATCAAACAGAAATAACTTGCATTAAATAGAGGAAGGACTAACTTAGATTTTGATATATTACAGTTGTATTTTACTTAAAAATTCACGGAGATATTAATGTTCAAATTCGGGAGCATATTTTGGGATGTGTCTAAAATTAGCGAAAATCGGCATATCAAATATTAACTTGAGCGTTTGTTTGCTTGATGACATATCAAGCTAACTTGTATTTCAGCGAATTGTCGTTAGGGTTTGTAAGGGATATGGCGTAGATTTAGACTTCTTACATGTAAGTCTTAGCTCATTGTTTCCTGAAATATGAACGTACGAATTTATGCAAGTATTTAATAGATCTTTACAAACTTTACACATTTACAAGGTACATCAAAGACCATGCAAAGCAGGCGCTTAAATTTTTCTTAGCCTAATTGTTTTTATGTTCTTCATGGGTTCAAAACAGAGTTGATTATTTCTCGGTTAGAGAAATGCTGCGCAATGAAGGAAATAATATTGCTTTTTGCAAATACACATCACAGTATCAACGCTACTATTTTGTTACGTTTCGTTCCAGAAATGTTGGATGTCTCTAGGGAGTTGCATGCTTAATTGTTATGTCTTATGGAGTTGTATGGTTTGATTGTGTTTCATTCTCAGTCTATTCTGAACTTAAATAGATTAAGAAAAGGCTAATGAGTTTGATGTTCTTAACAAGATTTCAGAACGTTGCAGAAGTTAGAAGAGCTTCACAATTCCATTGTGACAGCATGCCCTAATTCAGAACTACGAACGATCCATGACGATCCTTCGCGATGCAGTGGTCTCATGAAATAAGGAAACGTATTCGTGCTAGGAACACACACAGATTTCGGACGAATAAATATTGCTTGTATTTTGTAGATAATAATACTTTGTTTCATAATAAACAATTTGTCAAGTGTCATGTATTTACTGGTAATCGTGCATGTAAAAGAATAATAATGCTATTCAAAAATGTGAGTAGCGATTTTAGTTTCAAAGGACATGATGGAGTTTCTCTCTCTAATTTCGGTTGGTAAAGAATTCCAAATTTGTGCCCCGTCAAACATGAAACTTTTTTTCAAGCTATTTGTACGCGGCTGTGGTAAGCAAAGAGTACTTTCAACATCTCGAAGTTTATAATTTGTCATTTCACTTTTGAAAGTAAATAAATCAGTAAGTGATTTAGGACCCATTTTATTCAACAATTTAAACAACAGTTTGGACTTAGCCTTTATTCTTTCCGTTTTAAGTGGCTTCCAAGCTAAAGCATCTAAAGCAACCAGATGATCTACATCATTGCTCATATTCATTATGATTCGGGCAGCTTTGTTTTGGAGCTTTTGGAGGCGTTTTGATTGTGTTTCACCAAACACATCCCATACTTCACAGCAATATGTAAAGTATGGGCGAACAATAGAATTATACACAGAGACAAGTTTTATTTTATTTATTTTTTTTATTTGTTTTAACAGCTTTATTGAACGATGTTCAAACGGCAAGAGTGCGAACGGGACTCAAGACCCATGCGAGGCACTCTCCCTCTTGAATTTTGTTTACATCTAATATCCAGGTGATCTCATGTTCGTATTTTAGCCAATCAGCGCTCAGAAAGGGTTGTCCGAATAGAAATCCATTTTGAAGTATTCAGTCAATTATATCTTTCGTTATTCTTTATGAAACTAGTTGAAATTTTGTAATTATGTTTGGTTATGAGAACTATAGCTCTGACAAAAATATGGAATCGAAATAAAGTATATTACAGGAGATATTCAGTTGTTTTAATCACAAAATGGATTTCTATTTGACAACTAGTGCCAGTACTTTTCCGCGTATCAAGATCATCTGGATCATTATTTACAAAAAAATTATAAATTGGTAAACATATACCAGCTGATTAATTAAATCAAATTAGGAAGATATTGCACCACATTTAAGTTATCATACATAATACAGATTTGTATAATCATGTTAAAAATTAGAAAACTGAATCAGGATAAAACAAACCCTGACACGAGGAGCTGGTATATGTTTACATCAGAATTAACTATTTCTATGGCATGAACAGCTACGACATAAAGACCACGTACAGCACATATCCACATCAAAACTACTACTTAATAAATTGAAGTATGTTCTTGATAAGAAGGATTTAAACGTTGCCAAACTGCGAAGATCTCTAGGAGAAGCAATTTTGCAAGTATGATTCCAGAGTGGAACAATACGGTTAAAGAACGATGACTGGAAAGTGCTACTTTTACATGACGGAACTTTAAGCACTAGAGAAGGATTATTACAATTACGGGTACGACTATGATTAACAAATGACACAAAATTGAAAACATCCAAATCATAAAAACCATGCAAAGTTTTAAACATAAATGTCAGATCCTTAATTTCCCTGTCAAACACTAGTGGTAAAAGATTCAGAGCCAGTAATCTGTCCTTGTAGGTCATGTCACCTTTCTTCGATTGAAGGATCCATCTTGTTGCACGCCTTTGGACTTGCTCCAGATATAATTTGTTATTATATTGGGAGGGAGACCAAACCTGTGTGGCATAGCATAATTGCGACTTGACGAGCGAAAGATACAGAGTGCGCCGGATACTGCGGTCTGTTAACAAGGGGCATGTTCTTCTAAGCAAACCCAGCAACCTGTTCGCCTTGACTTTTATTTTGTTGATATGGGTTGTCCATGAAAGGTTACTGGTCACTGTGATTCCCAGATCAACTTCATCATTCATGATCACACGCTTCAATTCGGATGATCCCAGATAATATTCGAAAAGAAAAGGTGTTTTACGGCGAGAGAATGTCAATATTTTACATTTTGAGGGATTAAAGTTGATGTTGTTATCCTTACTCCAAACATCCGCACACGACAAAGCTTCTTGTAACTGTGAACAATCCTCTGGAGTTGAGATTTCTCTATACAATTTGGTATCATCAGCATACAGTCCTGTTGATGTAGATTCAGGAATGACATCAGGAAGATCGTTGATGAAGAGTAAGAAAAGCATTGGACCCAAGATGCTTCCCTGTGGAACGCCAGAAGTGACAGGGGACCATGACGAAGCAGCACCCTCTACAACAACTCGCTGGGTAGGGTTATGCAGGTAGTCAGAGAACCATCTGTAAATGTTTCCTGAGATACCGTAATCTTTCAGCTTTCTTAGGAGAATGGCATGATCCACTGAGTCGAAGGCTTTAGCGAAGTCAAGAAATAGAATGTCCGTCTGGGTATTTTTGTCAAGCAATTGTCCAATACGATGTAACGTTGAAAGAAGCTGTGTAGTAAAAGTGTATCTTTCTCAACAAATTCTTTTATTTGACGAAGAGCTGATATCCCGGATGTTATTTTCTTGCAAATTGTTTCAGTATTATTCTTCCAAGACAAATGCTGGTCACTCCAAGAGTTTTGCAATCATATACTTGTTTAATTGGTTTGTTTTCTATGATAATGTTTAGTTGTCTATTTGAGATACTTTTTATCATTGGTTTAGATCCAATTAATATAAATTCAGTTTTGGCCACATTTAAACTTAGTTTATTGGCAATTAACCATTTCCTAAGGTTTTCTAAATCAGAATTCATTGCAGTTTCAACATCATTTATAGATTCTCCCGCAGCTGTTAGGTTTGCATCATCAGCAAACGGTCGAGGTTTTGTTTTGCTTAGACACTGAGGCAAGTCATTAATATATAATAAAAAGAATAATAGCCCTAAAATAGAGCCTTGTGGCATGCCACACTTAATCAACCGCTCCGATGAAATAGTTCCATTAACTTGGCATTTCTGAGTGCGATTTATCAAGTACGATTTTAGTAGAGCCAAAGCATCTCCTTTTACGCCATAAATTTCGAGTTTTTTTAGTAAAATCTGGTGGTCGACAGTATCAAATGCCTTTTTTAAGTCAATTAGTACAACCAAGTTAAATAATTTTTTTGTCAATATTCATATACCAACTATTAGTACAGTCTAGTAACGCTGTAGCAGTTGAGTGCGATTTGCGAAAGCCAAATTGACAATCATTAAGTAGCTGAAATTTCGTCAAATAATCATATAACTGGTCATATAAAATTCTTTCCATAACTTTGCTAACAGCTGGCAAAACAGAAATTGGTCGGTAGTTACCAGGCAAATTTTTTGGCCATTTTTATAAAGAGGTGATACTCTTGCCATTTTCCATTCATCGGGAAAAGTGAATAGTGTAATAATAGCCTGATTAAAAATATAAGTTAATGAACTGGAGATAGCAGGTGCTGCTAGTTTTAAAATTTTACTTGAAATTTTGTCAACGCCAGTGGCTTTTGCACTAGAGAGGCCATGTAGGAGATAATAAACTTTGTTCGTGGTAATTGACTCAAATACAGTGAATTCTGATTTAGGTTTCTTAATATACTCTTGAAAATTGTAATTCGAAGTATCAATTTTGCTAGCTAAGTCAGGCCCAATATTTGAAAAGAATTCGTTAAAGCCCTCTGCAATGTCTTCTGAATTTGCTAAATTATTTCCACTTATACTCAACTCATCTACTTTTGTTTGTTTGTTTTGTCTGCCTAGTAAGTTGTTTATTGTTTTCCAAGCCTCCTTTGGATTTTGTTTTTGACCAGCAATTCTCTTGGAGTAACAATCCTTTTTGGCTTTTTTCATTTCTATATTTACTTTATCTCTGGTTTGTTCATACACTAACCAATCTGCTTCAAGGTTTTTAATAACGGCTTTTCTCTTAGATCTACCCCTCTTATTTATAAGCTTTTTGATTTCACTAGTAATCCAAAGGACTTTTTTTGATCTGATCTTTTTTTGTTGAATGGGTGCATGCTTATTTAGTACTAATTCCTGAAACAATTTCTTCCAAATCTCCCACATAGTGTTTGGATTATCAGCGAAGAAGTATACATACTCCCAATGCTGATTAAGTAAATCTTCAACAAATTTTTTGTCATCATTTTTTGTATCATGTGGCATAGTTGCTACAGTTTATTTTAAATTGTTGTTTTGTATTATTTTTACGCGTAACTAAGTCATTGCCGATGTAAACTCATCTTCGATTGGCTGCAAGTTTTACAGAATATATAACATGCATGGTCTTTCAATGGCTACAAGTTTACACACACACAAATTAAAAACATTTTGTCAACTCGATAGCAAAGCAGATACAAAAAGATAAACGCCATATTTTCCACCCGAATTCAAATTTTACTTTATGTAGCGCGGCCACCATATGTTTATTTCGTTTTGAAGCAATCTACGACCATTAAACTGATTGGTTAATTTCAGATCCCATTATTTTCCATCAATCAGATCAGTATATTACAGATTTTTGCACTGTTGCTATAGAATTGTTCACTGCTGTTTGAGATTAACTGCATGCACTGAAATCAACCATTCACAGTCAAGTAATATTTTTAAAAAAATTATACCTCAAATTCAAATTGTCCAATCAAAAAACAACATTTGTACCACGTGACAATGTGATTTTTACGGTATTTCACTCAAATTCATGATTTCGCAGTGCACCGTGAGATACTATAATATCCCACGGTAGATCCACCGTGGGATGTTTATCATTTATAGACCTGGAGCGCGGATTATTCGGCGCAATATTTCCCGAAGTGATGATATTTTCCGAGGGGATTTTTATACCGAAAGTTAGGGACTGGTCATGAAGTAACTGCTAGGGTGGGCTGGAGGTAAATCACAAATTTTGCCAATAAGTTTGCTGACCCATCTTAGGATGTAGATAAAAATTTCAAAACCCATCCAATCTTACCAAATTTATTTCATGACCCACCAAATACACTTTTATAATGAAAAAAACTTTCAGGTATGAACATATATCAATACAGTGCCGCCCGGTGTATATCTTTATTTTTGTATCTGCGAAGCAGATTAGTATTAACGTTATCCATAGCCATTCAGTGACGAGCTTATATAATTAAGCCAATCAGCGATTAGTTTACATCAATTGTTTACATCGTGCTCGCACCTAACCTGCGAACGGGCGTAGTTTGGCCTCGTGTAAGTCTTGTTATTCTTTGCCATATTTTGGCTTCAAAAATATCTTGATTTTATCTTGAATTGGCTGTCTTGTTTTCACCATTCTACTTGTGATATTATTCCAAAGTTATCTATCAACATGGAAACTTATCGTCATCTGGTAAGTAGCCAAATACCACATATTCTATTATATACATTTATACAGTATGAAAACAATCATTGTGGAGGCATTATATTGCCAATTAACAATATCACAAGAAACTAATGTTCTCAGGAGATATTGAATTAAATCCTGGTCCTGTATTTCTATAACTCTGTTCAAAACAACAGTCCAACTAAGTTGTCATCAAATGTAGTGTTAGAGCAAAGGTAAAGATGTCATCAGTTAAAATAGAGTTAATTAAACAAAATTGTTACAACCATTTTCAAATACTAATAAAATAATCCCACCCTCCCTCCTCATTACATTGTCATTTTGCTTTCTAATATATATGTTTTTGTTTAGAGATTAATACAAGAATAATGGATACATGTACTGATGTACTGGATATTGTCTGGATAATTTTGTCAGAACAACCCACTTGCAAGACAATCTTACCTAAATTCATCAGTGGAAAATAACTTAACAGCTACAATAATCATATGGATGGATCAGATCAATGGCACACAATGTACAAAACTAAACTTGTGATACCTTCCACTCAAACAGATATTCTCCCACAACACAACTTGTTTTTGTGTGGATATGCTGAGTTAAATTAAACCGAACAGTGTGGTATATCATCAACTGTGCACAGGATTGGAATTGAATTGTATACTTCACTCATGACCTTCAAAACATTCTCTACTATTCAGTGCATGGTCTTCGATATATGATTGACTCTTTGCTACAGTAATGCATGTTCCTCGAATAGTTTGTCTATGTTACTCAACAGTCAACATTGGCAAGTGTAAACAACAAGTGACAGAACTTTTGCTTCATATGATCACAATAAAGTTTTGAAAATTCGATGAGTATGGATTAACAAGTGACAGTTTACTAAATAGCCGGCTGTATAGACATTTTGAATATTGTTTGAATGAAATTTTATTTCCTGACTGCATAATTATCCGTTACAAGCATAATCACATTATAAAATTAGTTAAATTTTCGGGCGTAGGGGGGGAGGGGGGGGGCAGTTGCCCCTGCTGCCGTCTGTGCATTGTGCAGCCCTGTTAGATTTGTATTATGTTTGATTTTAAAATCTTATTTGCTATTATATTTAAATAAGTGCCACCATGGTTGGCACCGAGGCCCCCCCCCCGGCTTCCTACGCCCCAGGATGAAAGTAGATATGGGTTTTTGTTTGGTGACCCAACCGTGGACATGCAAAATAATTGGCGGCCCATCGAAACTGCCCAAAGATTTTCCATGGCCCATCCCAAATCACTCCGGCCCACCCTAGCAGTTACTTTATGACCGGTCCCTTAAAGAAGTCACACTCACTCACTTTAAAACTTGTTGAATATTCATAACTACGCGAATACAATTTTTAATTTCTTATGTATACCTGAGTTTTTGACGCTTCCTCTTTAAATTATTTGAGCATGTATCCTTTGGATCATTAAAAGTAACATACGTCTTGAAAAGCTTTGGTTAAATCAAATCTTCTGCACGAAATTACAAACAACTGGGATACCATAATATCCCACGGTGGAT